TCTCTCTTTCCCTTTCCCTAACCTGGGCCACACCTCTGCTGTCCCCTGAGCCTGCTGTCCCCAATCTGGAGCTCTGATTGGAGGTCAGCTTTCCCCCTCCCTACCCTGGAGGAGCAGAGAGGGGTGAGAAGAGCTCATTGCTATTAGGAGTCAAATTTCCACTCCAGATATGGCAGGCAAGACTTTTCACTTAATTCAGTGTCTACAGAGCTGGAGATTGCCACCTACATGGCCAAAGACAAAGTGAGTCTGTGTCGTACCCTGGAGTTACAGCACATTCGTTTGGACTTATTTAAAATCAGTGGCAGAAATCCCTTTGTTCTGTCTTCCAAAACTTGGTCCAGAAGCTCAAGATCCAATGGAAAGCTGGAATCTGAGGGGGAAGATCAATTGTTCTCAAAGTTGGGGCAGTGCTCCCGTAGCGTAGCACCCTGTACTTCAGAGAGCTGAGGTTATTTTCCAGGTTGCTCATCACCTATCATATTAATCATCCCTTCTATTTTGTGCATTCTGCAAATCTGACAAGTGTTTTATAAAACTCCACTGGTAGAATGCGGACCTCCTGGGAGTTCATGTCTCTCCCATCCAACATCTTGTCACCTGGTTTGAAACTCCCCTTTATTTTCCGGATAATCTTGATCAAGAATCCACTGATTCTAAGTACAGAGTAACCACGAAGGGAAACGACACCTGGAATTCCCTGTGAACATGGATACTTCATATGCTCCTTGCTAAGGGAACAGCATTTCCTGACCTCCGTATATTTGTCAAGAATCTGAAATTTTAAAGAAAATAATAGACACAGAAGTACAAAATCTGAACTTGGCTAAGCCAGAGCCCCTTAGAAGACACCCCCAGGAGGGGGAGACTTACAAGAATACAGTGAAGAAAACACGGAGTTAATGCACAAGCCCCAGCAGCCAACCTCGACCCCTCTTTGGTAGATGAGAAACTCTGTGGAGTTGTGCGTGCTGTAGGGATCCCCGCCATACACGATCTGAAAGAGAAGCGTGGGGCTGTTGAGCTACAAACGCAGTGAGGTAGGGTCCTCTTCTCATGCATTCTGCTTTTCCTGCCCAAATGACATGTCCCAGTCCAGGGGGCCCTTCCTAGGGCGCAGAGTGCATTCTATCTCAACCAAGTCAGATCCCATCACACCTTTCTTCAAGGAGCTTCAGGAAGTCTAACACTTCTGCATCCAGTCTAAACAACAATCCCCTGCATCTTAACACCCTTGCACATCTGGCCCCAACCTGACTTAGGCAGCCCTGACACCCACCCTTGCCATTGGCTATTCCTGCTCCGAGGGCTTCCTTTCCCTCCTCTGTCTCTGGAACTCCTACTCCTCTTCCAAGGCCCATATCATATTGTGCCTTCTTTATGAAATCGGCCATGATCTCTCCAGCTGACACATTGGTTTTCCCTGGTATTGGATCAAATGCTAGTAGGTCTCATGGTGTCTTCTAGTGTCAGTAGCTGCTGCTTCCTTGTCTGTGAGCCACCTCCTGGGAGGTACTCTTTCCTGTACTCTGACTCTTGGCTAATGCAGAGGAAGCTCAACAACTGCTGACTGAAGAGTTGATGTGGGTCAATGAGTGTGTGCATGGACATGTTCCTTACCTGGCCCATGAAATCTGTGAAGAAGAGCATGTTGGACAGGAAGGCAGTCCATCCAATGAGGTGGCTGATGCAGAGGAAGCGGTAGTGGGGTGGCATGCTGGCCAGTGCCCTCAGGAGTGACTTCATGGTCATCGCCCTCCGAGTCTGGAATGACACAGTGAAGCAGAGGTGTGACCTTCAGTGGGAAACCCAGCCAGCTGCAGAAGCCAGAGCGCACACCATGTCACATGTTTCTCACTTGGCCATCACACAGGGTCACTTTTTCTGTGAATAGCACCTACATTTCCTTGGAATAGATGCATAGAAGTTGTTCTATTAAGTATGAGTGACTACTTAGCATTTTTTCTGGCCCCAAATAAGGCTTTTGTGCCCTAAGAGAGTGGGAATGGTACCATCGAGGGGCCAAGGCATAAGCGATATCTAAGAATCCTATCTTTGAATCATGCTGGCTGTAAGAGCACAAAGTTAACAGATCTAACCAGCCCTTAGATGATGGGAATTCTTAGATTTCTTGACTCTGAGAGCATTGTAGGACACACCTAAGACGGCCTTCAGTCTGTCTGTCTTCTGATGTTACCCTATGATTATGGTGTTGCATGCCGAAGGGATTTTGTAGATATAATTAAGCTTACTAATCAGTTGACTTCCAGTTGATCAAAAGAGAGATTTACCTGGGTGTCCCTGGTCGAATCATATGAACCCTTGGATAGCAGAGTTCTCTCCCGGCTGATAGCAGAAGGGGAAATCAGAACGATTTGAAGCACAAGAATCACTGGCTTTGAAGACAGAAGTTGACACATACTAAGGACCTGTGAGTGGCCTTGAAGGGTTCAGAGCCACGTATGGCCAATTATTGGGAGGAAAATACGGACCTCCGTCCTATAACACACAGAGCTGGATTCTGGTTGGGCATGGTGGTGCACACCTGTAATCCCAGAAACTTGGGTTGTTAAGGAGGAAGATCACAAGTTCGAGGCCAGCCTTGACAACTGAAGGAGAACCTGCCCCCAAATAAAAAATATATAAAGGACTAGGGGTCTAACTCAGGTAAAGCACCCTGGGTTTAATTCCTCATACAGACAAGACAAAACAAAACAAAAAACAACACTGGACTCTACCAACAGCCTGGAGCCTGAATGAACTCTAAGATCAAATGAGGTCATGGCCCAGAAGAGCTCACCCAGACTCTGACCAATGGAGCTGTGAGATGATTAATAGATGTTGTTTTAAGTGGCTAGTTTGTAGTGATTTTTAAATGCAACAATAGAAAACTAATCCAGTCAGCTCCCTGCTCTTGGCCAGCTGCCTTATCTTGGATCATTTCTCTGGCTGCTGCCGAGGTGGACACATGTAAATGAACATTATGATGAGTTGAAACGGGAACAATGTAGAAAAGTGTGACTACACATACGCATATAAGTGATGAATATATTTGCCCTAAAACTCTTCAATTTAGATTTAGATAGTGTTAAAACCAGAGGCTACAATTATTTGGGGGTTTCGGGAAAACTTGAGAGATTGAGACAATTTAAACCGGACATAAACTGTTTTGAAATGCAAAGGATGAAATAGTCTTTAACATCTTGTCTTAGAAGAATGAAACCTCAAGAATATTATTCAGCTGCCCTGCTGACAGAATCAAAACATCAACTGTGGTAGAGTGATCGGTCCTTCTTGGCAGATTTTCATTTATTAGAATCTTGACGTTAAAAGATAGAGTCCTAGTTAGTCAATCTCCTGAGAGACAGTGTCCTGAGATTTTCTATTTAACTATAGCTACATATTGCTTCATAACTTTTCACCTTAAATGATGATGATTTTGGTTTCGTTGTTGTAGAAATTCAGATTTACCCACTTAAGTTTTGTTGTACAAATTGCTGTTTTAAAATCCATCAATCTTATAGTATTTAGCCACTGACTATGACTGTACTGATGTTTCTTATACTCAATTCCCATTAAAAACATAGACATTTCCTTGGAATTAGGAAAAATAACTGTTTTCTGTACATAGAATATGGTACCTGTCAAAATGAGTGGTGATTGTAACAGAAATGTAGTGCAAAATTGCTATATATCCCACACCCACAGGAAAAAAGTAGCTAAAGATGTTTCCCAGAGAGCAACAGCCTGGTTTTCATGATTCAAACAAAGTCATTTGTCTCCACTTTCCTTCCCCTCCTTCCAAAATTGTGTAGTGGAGAAAGTGAATCTGGCAGATAAGTATTCAGCCTCATTGCAAATATTAATTTATGCTTCTGCCTTTAATGCAATTTTCAGCCCATTTTCATTATTCACCTAATTTTCCTTTTTTTCCAAAAATAAATATGAGGTTTTGAATTGTGCCTAGTGTTTTTGCAAAAGCTTGGAATGTAAATATTCAAAGCTCCTTTGGGTATTTTAACTCAGAATGGAAATCCAGCTGGCACCTTATCCCTGACTCATCAATTCCCTTTGAAAAGATCTTTCAATGGTTCTGAGCCCCTGGGAGTCATTTTGCTGCATACACTCTGCACCACAGTCAACTGGAGGGTGATGGATTTATAATGAACAAAGCACAGTTATCAGGGGCGAGAGAACTCCACAGAAGTACATTCAAAAGGAGACTACTCAAATATTGACAACACCAACTTTTGGGGGCATGGATTAATTGGAGAAGGATTTTATGGGATCCAGGTTAAACTCTGAAATAATTCAGGCCTCTTGCCACTAAAAAGACAAATCCCAGTTCTCAAATCACTCAGCCACTCTCATTTTGAAAACAATGACGCCCTTGGCTTTAGTGCAGGGCCCTGGCACAGTGCAGACGCCACAGCTTAGCTAGAGACCTCCCAAGATGTGCATTTGGAAGAAAAGGGCCATATGCATGGCTTTGAGCCTAAGATATGTTACTCTAATTTTATTCTTATTTTGTTATTTAAACCAAATGACAAAAACTTGCAAAGCCTTCAGTGTTGTATATGTGGCACATACAAGACAGTCCATTATATTTTTTTCTTATTTCTTATTTTTT